TATTAATATAATTAAAATTTATATATAAATTATATTTTAAATTTATGATAAATAATTTGTATTATAAAAAAATATTTTTTTTATTTATTGATAATCTAGTTTAAAACATTGATATTTAATAAATAAATAATTATGATAAATAAAAACTGATTAGATAAAAAGTTATAAAAATTATTATAAATAATTCGTTGAAGAAAAACCCTTAAAAACGCTCTTATGTAAAATAAATATTCGTATTTAATATATAAGAATTGATTATATTATAATTATTAAAGAAAAAGATACTATCATATCAAAATTCATTAGTTCAAGTAGTTTGATACTTGTACTCCTTAACACTAAAGATTAAGATTTGTTCTCACCTTAAGTATGAAATCATGATTAAATGCATCACTTTACTCCTATAGGTTATAAACCTATTGAGAACAAGTGATATCTCTTTATCAAAGAAAATAAAGACACTCACTATTTGTCTTCTTTTTTTTAAGAAAAAATAATGGGTAATTAATCTATAAGAGTGAGTAGTTTTTAGTGTGGAGATCTTTTTAAAAAAATGGATAAAAATAATGATTTACAAAAGAGTAATTATAAGAGTAAAACTGAATATAAATTGTGTATACTAAAAAGACTTATTACCTTTATTATTATTATAAATATATACGTGATATGTTCGAGATAAATACGAATAATTTATTCAAGGTGGTCTTTAAACATGAGTATATATGGTATATAATTGGTGTTATACTTGAACAAATTATTTAGATTTGAGATGTGTATGGTAGGTTAAGATTTGAGTTATTCATAGCTATAGGTTGGATAATACTCTGAATGGTTGAAATTTTGTTAAAAAAATGAATATTTACAAAAAAAAATATTTTGATGCTCAGTAAGAATTTCATCAAAGTGACAATATATATTAAATGCTTACTTGTTACGTCCTTGCACATGGTCTTGCATACCTTCAACTCCCACCTGCAGTTGCTTACTTGTTACAGTGATGTTGTGATATAGGTATCAAAGTTATGGGTTCCCTAACACAAAACCTAGGGCTTCTCACTGGGCAATTATATCCTATTTTGGTGTAGTTATAGGGTAATTTTGTTCTTGACCAATATATGATTCATTATTCAAGAGTGTAGGTTAACTCTCTTGCTATAAGAAATTTAGTTCTTATCAACGACTATATTTCATCAGTTATATGTAAAAAAATCTTTGGGGAAGTTAAATTTTCTAACATACAAACATCCATAGTTAATTTGCTAACTTGTAAGAAAAGTATCAAAGAATTAGTATTTGTGTAGGTAATTACTGATAGTCTTATTTATGGAAATTTTTGTCTGAAATTTCTCACATATTTATCTATGAGAAAGAAATTATATACAGATATATCTGTTGGAAAATTTTCACAAATATATCTTTCATTAACAACTAACTTTTTAAAAATATTTTCTTAGGTTCCATATTGATTTGATTTTAAAACTTCTTTTAAAAATCCTAATAAAACCAATCATATTCCAAAAAATAAGAAAAATATAAAACAAAATGATGATAAATCAATCATAATATCATAAAATTCATAATATATGCTAATATTAAATAGCTGCGATATTTAATCTACACAATGTACAACTTTTTAAATAATTAAAATATCTTGAAAAATCACATTGTTATATCTAATCTTTATGGTTTCTTATTGTTCCCTCTGGCTTCCATCAACATCTCAGAGCGTTTGTGAGAGACTTTTGAGTGATTTTTTATAAGGAAAAATAAAAGAGATATATAAGTAACACCTCACCTTCCTTTGTTATAAGGACAAAATAAATAATTAATAATCAAACCAAATTAGACCCAAATATAAATGCCCATATGTTATATACACGGACTGATAAGATTAAAATAAATTATGAATTGTTTTCTACTTAGAATATAATATTGTACAGTTTCATTATAGTAACTTCAAGAGCACAATTAAAATCTACATTCTATGGTATATATCAAGAGCACGAGTTATGCTAACTTCAGGGAGTCAAGTTGACTGAATTAGGCATGGCAATCTAACCCGTCCCCGTGGATACCCGCCCGAACCCGTCCCGATTTGGACGGGGAAAACCCGTGTTTATCGGGTTCGGGTTCGGGTTTTCCCCGATTGATAAAATCGGGGGCGGGGGCGGGGACGGGGATGTTAATACCCACCCCGCCCCCGCACCCATACCCGC